AAAATAAAGTCTGACCCCTTGCGGCCTTATGGAATAATTAACTCAGAAATATATCTTATTTGAGTTTAGTATCTAATTATCATAGGGTATATTCTTGTGGATGATTGAGTCAAATCTTGGTGGAAAAAAATCTAATCAGATTTGTTTTATCTTATTGTATTTATAGGTTCTTGATTAGGTGATCAACACATGTCTGACAAAGTGAAAGTCCTTGTTGTTTCTTGCTTGGTCCTTGCCAAACCTTATCCACGGACTAACTTAGATGGCTGGTGTTTCACTCCATTGTATACTTACTTTTTTTGCACTAAAATATGCTTTCTCTTTATTATTATTATTTTTTACTTTTTTGTCTAGATATTTTACTTGTTAGTTTTTTGTATTCTTCTATGTGCCTTTTTCCCTGATTTTAAATTCTTTAAGCTGTTATTTATTTATTTATTTAAAAAAATGTGTGTCTGACTCTGAAGATTTTTTTGTGCAGATATCATAATTAAAATCTTTTACCTATATTTGAGCTTTTATGAATACTTTTGCTTTATGGGATTTTTGTATTTTTGTATTTTTTGTGTGTGCAGTTAACTGGTGTAACAGTAGGTGAAGTGAAGGCTGTTTCTGGTATGCACCAAAGGAAAGCAGAGATGGCTAGGCATTCTGATGCTTTTATTGCCTTACCAGGTTTGTCTATCTGTGTCACTGTGTGTGTGTGTGAAATCACTAAATAATTTTATGCTAAAAAATTATCCAAAGATGAACAAGAACATTAATTGGTCAACCATTTGGACTTGGGAGAGCAGAATAAATACTGAAAAATCTTGTAATAAAGAGACAATCATTAAAAGGGTTGCAGAGGATAATGCCTCTTACTTACTATTGGATGAGAACAATAAATGCAAACCTTGGGAAATGTGGGATTTAGTAATTCAATGTTTGTTCTTCAACAATCATCCAATTCTTGATTTTATATCAGTATATGAAATTTATGCCTTGGAATTGTGTACATCAGGTGGTTATGGAACTCTGGAGGAATTACTTGAAGTCATAACATGGGCACAACTTGGCATCCATGATAAGCCGGTATATTTCTCGCTTTTTAACTCGAAAAATCGGGAATTAAAAGATAATATGTAGTAGCAAAATTGAATAAGTATGGATTTTTTTGTGCAGGTGGGATTGCTGAATGTGGACGGATACTATAATTCGTTACTGTCGTTTATCGACAAAGCTGTGGAGGAAGGCTTCATTAGTCCGAATGCTCGTTACATCATCGTATCTGCTCCAACAGCAAAGGAGCTGGTCAAGAAATTGGAGGTAGAATCAACTCTTTAATTAAAATATTTAATTTCACCACAAAAATAAATAAATATAAGAAAAGGAATGACCGTTTGATTTCGAATAGGAGTACGAGGCTCGACATGAAAGAGTTGCTTCAAAGCTGAGCTGGGAAATGGAGCAGCTGGGCTACTCACATAATTACGATATTTCGAGGTGAAGGAAGAAATGGATTTAGGCAGCATTAAGGATTTTATTGGACCCAATGGAATTTAAATTTGCAGAAGCTAACTTTGGAAATTTAAGCCTTTTATTTTGGTGGAGGGGGACCTAATTTTTTTAATGTAAATTTATCTGGAAAAATGGCCCCCCCTCACTTTCTTTCTATGTCACGCCTATCTATTTTGGTCAGCTTCATTTCATTGCACGTTGTAACTAGTAAATGCTTTTCTGTTATTCCCAAACACCGCTTATCTTAAAACAAGCTCGTTTAAGCTATAATAGAAGTTGACTTTCCAGTTAATTTGCAAACACTTCATCTTTTAGAAAGAAACACTTAATATTAACTTAATTCGCAATTACTAATTTTTAAAAATAAGGTTATGCAAATACCACGTACGTACAAGAGTGAGTTTCCAAATACAAGTGAATAAGTGCAAAAAAGAAATAGTAGAGAGTTGGATGGAGAAAGAGAATATCCTTGAAATAGAAGGGGAGTGAAGAATAAAGAAAGAAAGAGGGGGCAGTTAGTTGGTGGTTGTGATTGGTAATCGTGGCGGGGTTAGACGCACGCACAGTAGCAGAGAGTGGTCCACATACACATAAACAAGAACAACCATTCAAGGGACCATTTTTCACTTCCTTCCAACCAAATTCTAATTCTAATTATTATTATACTAATAATTAATAATTATAATAATAATTTCTCATATGTTTGTTTGCTGTTCAAACCGACCAAAACTATTATCCCAACAAACAACCTTTATCCATACAGGACGAACCCCACGTGGGTAGTGCGTGCCTCTATTTCATCCAACCAAACTCCACACACTCTCAACTCAATTGCTCCAATTTATTTATTATTAATAAATCAATTGGTCCAGGTTCTTATATACCCATCATCCCAAAATCAGATTATTACAAACATGGCTTTTATAAATTGCTTACTTATAAATATTTATTGAATGTTACACACTCACTCTCTCTCTCTCTCTCTCTCTCTCTCTCTCTCTCTCTCTCTCTCTCTTGTTTTGTTTAGCTGGTAGGGTAGAGGAGAGCAAAAGACAGAATAATAGTTTAGGGCAGCGACATTTCATTTTTTGGTTTCGGTTGCAAAGTCCATTAATTATTCAACTTTTTGTTTGTGTATTTGTATAAGTGGGGTACATTGATTTTAAGTGATGTTGTACTCTAATCTCATGACACAATTCGACATTTTAGTTGTTGCTCTGTCTTTTCATTTTCCCTTTTTTTTTTTTTTTGTTTCCAACTTATGTTTTATTTCACACAATTTGCTCTTACTAAATCTATATATATACAAATATTTATTATTAATTATTTTTTTTATTACAACTCATTTGAGTTGGATCAGAAGCTTCATCTTTGTATTGGGCTGGACCTTGACTTTATGGGCTACTTATACTAATTATATTTATTTTTATCAATATATGACTCACCAAATATGGGCTTTTTTAAATAACCCAATTTCTTTTTTGAGCCTCGCCATCAAATTTTAAACAGTGTTTACTACTAATTTTGAAATAAAAATAGACAACTCCAATTTGAAATAGATTATCTAATGTGCCTATCATAAGCAACAAAACAAGAAAAGAAAGAAACAAAAATGTTGACAATATGAGTGATTAATGTTGTCAATTAGCCACTTGTTTTTCTTACCCACCATTGTAATAAGAATTTGTCAATGCTAAATGTGATATAGTGGTGACATATTTACCTTTTCTTGATGGAACAAACCAAAATATTATTATAATAAATAAAAAAAACAAATTAGTTGACTTTATAATACTTTGATTAACTGTACCAACTTTAATAATATCTAACAGCCACCAATCTCATGAATTTCAAAATACAAAAATAAGTTTCGAATTTATAAAAATAAATACTTCAAATTTAATTAAGCAAAACTTCAAATTGTTGTTTATGGAAGGCGAATCAATGATTATTTCTGACTAAATATATAATTATAAAATTTTATTTTATTATTTGATCTAACAATTATCAAAATTTACATTTCATTATACATGCCCTATGCATCAAATCTTAAATAAAATATAGCAACTCCAAATATCAATTGCATGAATCCTATTAACTTAAAAATAAAATTTATCTAACTCGATTACGGTTCGATTTACGCTAATCAATCAATCCTGAAACCCGAATTTCTTCCAAACCGCATCCCGGACCCTGCTCAAATCCCTACCCTTCAACGTCCTCCCTCTACCTTCATGCACCGATAACGACGCGCCTCTCTTCTTCGCCAAATACTCGTGAGGGGGTATTCTGTCATTTCCTCCATCCCCCTCCTCTTCTTTTAACTCCCTCGGACCGCGTCCCTTGTACTCGCTACCGAGGATTTTCGACCAATCCGGAACGTTCACCGGCAGAGAATTCGCGCCCTCCCCCACACGGCGATGATCACCATTTCCGCTCTTCCCGACAGGTGGCAAATCAACTTGTTTTTTCCTTTCCGGTCCAACACCATCGGCATCATTACTACAATTAGTACCCCAAATCTCGGATTCGTCGAGTTCAAATTGGTCGTCGGAAGTTGCCGGAGTTATTTTCCCGCCACCGTTGCCGCCGAGGTAGCGGCCGTAGCCCTTCCTTGCTGCCGCCATTAGAAATGAAATAATTGTATATACAAACAATGAAGATTTGTGTGTATATTTATAAAGGTGAGGAAAATTGGATAAGCACTGCACCTGGTTTAGATTATGGTTTTAAACTTTATATTATGGTTTTAAACTTTATATATATATTACAGAATTAATAACGACCCATGAGAATTTTATTGTACATTTATAATCAATGATATTGCATTTAATTTAAATGGAAAGTGACACTTTATTTTTGGATTATCTGAATTAAATTTAATGTGCCCCAGATTTTGTTTGACCAAAACATGCAATTATTTCACTATATCTAAACCATAGTCAGTTCCAGCTGGACCAGAGGACGTTGTCTTTGGTTAGTTTTTTGTTTTCTTTGATTCCCTTTCGTGTACGGATTCAAGAATGTCAAAAATTAGTAAATTAATTACTAATTTAATTATAATTAATTAATTAAAATATTTGTAATAGAGAAGAAGCGTGAGAGGATGCCCAAATTCAACCACTCATATTAGACTGACACGTCGGATTTTGGTGGATCCGTTGCTTGCTGTTAAATACTCCCTCCGTCCCATTTTAAATGTCGTTTTTGGTGGTTACGCGTAGATTAAGATAGTCAATAAATATGTATAGATTATACCAAAAATAGCATAGTAAATACTAAAATACCCTTGTTATTAATTATTTTTTAATTAACTAATTAAGAGTGATAAGGGGCAAAATTGATAAAAATGCAATTAATACCATATTGGAACTCTAAAATGACAAATAATTTGGGACAAAAAAACACTCCAAAAAGAAATATAATAAGGGACAGAGGGAGTAAGTGGTAAGAATCTTAATAATAATAAATGAATTTAAAAAAAAAATAATAAAAAAAGGGGAAGGAATTAAGGAAAAAGTCAAAAACACTTTACATTCTTTCTTAGGAGTAGAGTGGAAATTAAAATTGAATTTATTATTGACACGCACTCCCTCCTTCCCTAAATATATGTTGTCTTTTTATATCGGAACAAGTGCGAAAAATCTCGATAAATATGTCTTCATTTTAGAAAAAAATAAATATTAATAATAATAAATGAATTAAAAAAAAATAATAAAAAAAATGGGAAGGAGGCAAGGAAAAAGTCAAAACCACTTTACAGTTTACTCTATTCTTCATTTCTTTCTGGAAAATAAAATTGAATTTATTATTGACAGGTACTCCCTCTTCTAAGTATGTGTCTTCTTTTTATATTGGAACAAGTTTGAAAAATCTCAATAAATATGTCTTGAATTTAGGAAAATAAATATTGATAAACCAAATGAGGTTATAATTGAAAAATATTTAATGGATATAGAATACATAATAATATTGATATCACAAAAATATAATATTTATAATTTTTTTTATTTTGAAAATTAAGATTAGATTGGGAAAGGAAATTTGATAATACAGCCCACCAGAAATCGGCCCAGTATCAAACTTCAGCCCATTCCCTTCAATAGCCAAAACGCCGTCGTTTTCGATTACGAGCCCTAATCGCCAAATTATTCCTCTTCTTCTTCTTCTTCTTTCATCAATCCCCAATTTATCCAATTTTTCATAGTCGCGTTTCAGCGATTATAATTTATTTATTTTTAACTGCGATTTCTAATTAGTGGTTTTGTTTAATCCAATTGCAGTATGTGGATGATAATTGCTTGCTAAAATGGGATGAAATGGTACATCAACTTGCCTCTTATTACATTGCATTTGGGAGAAGAATTTCAAATAATAATATAAAACCTATTGTAAAATATTTTTAAATAAATTTGAAATAATTAAGTAGCTCTAAATATTTTCACCAAACATGTTTTCCTATTTTCAATAAACACCACAATTCCTTAAACATGTTTTCCGCTTCGAATTCGCGACTTACAAGGTATACCTAAAAAACAATTCCCATTATATATACAAACGAATTTACGTTCCATCTCTTTCATTCATAAACAATTTCGCGCACACAAAAAAAAGGTTGTTTTGTTACTCTCCATTTTCGGAAGAGAAGAATACAAAGTCGAAGAATTTCAAGGTTTTCTCGTCTCACTTTCTTCGCGGAAACGATCGAGTGGAGGAGAGAGAAAATATGGCGAGGTATGTCAATATGAGCACAAAGTCGAGTTCATCATGGATGGCGGTCGCTCCTTCCCCTATTATATTTCCCCACAAGCCTTCAAATACGCCCGACTTGGAAACCATTGTAGAAGAGATCGAAGAAGAAGACGATGATTCATGACATCATCTATGATGACATTCATCTACGCAATATGATCCACAATTTTGTAAACAATTGTAGTGTTATTTATTTATTTAATTTCATATACTAATCTTGATTTTAGAAGTAACTTTTTAATTTTCTACGAAAATCTCCTCGATCCTATACCTAATGCCGTATGATTTCGAGCGCTGGTTTCATGATTTTAAGATGGCTAAAACAAGATTGAATTTTTTAAATCTATTTTCCTATAGTGAAATTAAATCCAAGAACATAAGCAGAATTACACAACAAAATGCAATAATTAAATTAAAGAAAAAAAAAAAAAAAGCCAGTAGGCCTAAGCAGGCACTCAGACACAGAGATGGTAGATGTGGGGCAACAAACATTAATGGACATTTAAAACACTGTAATAACCTTAACTTTCACGAATACGTACACCTCCGGTTATTAACTACAGATCTTTATGCATGCATGCATGCAGTAACTTACTGAAATTGTGATTACAAAGATGTGAAGAAAACTAGGAGGAAGAAGAAGCTATACATACACGTGTCAGATTTTTTTTTTTAATTTCTCCATTTCTTGTGGCGAAAATGTTTTCAATTGATAAGATGGAAGAATCTATTCATCAAGAAAGTTCCAAGTAGAAAAAAATACAGAGGAAAAAAGAAAGCCAGAAAATATGGATTCAGGTGAAGTGATTTCAGCTTTACCAAAAGTTGCCAACTCAAAAGCTACTACTTAAAGCTATGTGATCTGGAAAATTGAATAAAGTTATTGGAAAATAAATTTGGTAGGGAAAGGGGCCCCCACCCCCCCCTCTCCCCCTTCTCCTTGTTATATATTATTACTTTCTCTCTCATTTCCTAAATGAATGAATATTGATATAGTTTACTGAGATGGGATGAAGATTGGTTTAGTGTGTGTAATCTACACCAAAGCACGGTGAGAAAGGTATGTTTATATATATGTATGTATAGATATAAAAACAGGGCAATGCAGGGGTGGTTAGCGGTTAGCGGTTATGCCTGGCTCCTTGTATGCCATTTGCAGAGTACATCCGAAGGCGGTGGTGGCCTTTGTGGATGGCATACCAGGAGCTATGCATGCATCTACGCCTTCGCCTTCATTCTAATCGACATTTTCGTCGTCCATAATTATTTCTTCTTTGGTGCCTCTCACATCTTTTGTTTTTCTACAAGTTTCGAAATAGCATGATCGAATCCCTATATAAGCTCGCCGATCGCTGACCCGACGGGGAACTTAATTCAACTTCATGTGAAAAAGTGGAAGGTACTACTTGAAAGGTGGCGAGCATGGGCCTTCCGAAGATTACGTTGTAATCTGAGGTATCCGGAAGTTATTTGTTCGTATTTTGACGAGTGGATGGACTCCTAGTGCCACGGTCCACTTTATCTGCCCTATTGGTCGAAACGGTCACTGGTGAAACCGTATATTGACGTTGTCACTGGCTTGATGTCCACGTCCAACTCCATTTGTCAATTATAGTCATTAAAAAGTACACTTTTACCCTTCGCGCTCTCTTTTCGGCGATACTTCAACCTCCCTTGGCATTGGCCACCCACCGGGAACTGGCCCAAAAGCTCATGGCCCATTTTAGACTTGGGCTTTAGCTTTTATCGTCCAGTAATCTTGCATGTGGGAGTTCGGCCCAATTGTGCCGAACTGACCCCATCAAATGTTAAGTAGGGAAAAAAATATATATCTTTTGAAATGTTGAAAATGAATCAATTTAATGATATTCTTTTTATATATGATTTAATGTTACCTACGTTGAAATTCAGGAAATTCAATTTCAATAGTGATAAAATATCAATTAGTAGTTCGTTTCAATCTAAAAACGGGCTACCTTGTCTTGACATTCATTTTGAAGTTGGGTCTTCCATTCTAAGATAAAGTAAAAGCCACGATACGGATAGCACCATCGATTGTACGTCTTCGTATGATGCATATAGTGTGCATCCAATGTTGTCGAGTTGCATAGAGAAATAATGTAGATTTGAACATTGAATTTTATTTATTTATTAAAGTACTCCTACAAAATAAAAATAAATAAATCTCCATCATATATTTAGGGAACCCCTAATTGTATAGTTTAGGTTGATTGGAGAACATTAATAATGATAATTAATAAATAACCGTAATGGAGGAATATAAAGTTTGATAGTGGATTTTAGCCGGGTATGGGCAACCGTTCATAGTGGGCTGGATCTTGGGCCCCATACTCCTTTTTGTCGGCCCACCATACACTTTGCAGGCATGTCTTATTGGAATATTTAGTCTTAGAGGGCATTTTCGTCAATTTGTTCCATAAAGTATATGATAGTTTTATTTAAAAAATTAAATTATTATATTCTGTAATTTGAAATCATAATATATTGACACGTGGTGAAATACTCGTCTTGCGGTCTTGCCTTTATCATTCTAAATTAATTTATAAATAGGGTAAATTACGAACACCACCCTAACTTTAGGTTAAACTATGAAAAAGAACACGTCTATCTGTAATTACCAAAACCCCCGATCTTTGTTTCCGTCTTGCACCGACCTCCTTACGGTGTGATTTTTTCATGAAATCTTTTTTATTTCAGTGAATATTTCCCGGAGATTGCTAATTCTACTAGAAGAATAATAAAGATTCCGTATAAATGACTCCCTAAGGTTAATTTTTGTCTTGAAAAAGCAATATGAAATGCCACGTCTGTAGGGGTAGAGTCGACATTTTTTTCAGGAATAATCCCTCGATTCAAAAAAATTCGCTGAAAAATCACACAATAAGGGGGTCGTTGAAAGACGGAAACAAACATTGGAGGGTACTACGAAAAAACAAATGAACTACGAATAGGTGGGATGTTTTTTGTAATTTAACATAAGATTGGGGGATTTTCATAATTTACCCCATATATATATATATAGATGCTTATCTTATGTAAGTGGTGAATTGGGGATGCTTATTCAGAAGAGCAAAAGATGAGATTGATTATTCATATTGTGTAATCTCAGAAACAATAGCATGTTCAATTATACTATACTATTATATGGGGCCATCCATATTCTCTTCCCTTCTATTGGTTAGATAATAGTAGTAATTATTTGTAAATAAACAAACAATTCCATGAAAGAAAAAAAAACAATAAATTGTGTATTGAACAGATATAAAGGCAATAATGGTGAGATAGATTTACCAGCTCCACTATATATATATATTTAAGATTTGACTCGTTGAATTATTTCAATTATTTTCAGGGTGGAGCTTTACGCAACCCGCATTACCCTAATTTACCCACCCGCCCCCGCCCCCGCCCCCGCCCCCCACCCCCACCCCCCCTCCTTCCTATTCTCATCCCCATCATTAGATTCTTCTTCCCCTTGCCCCCGGCCCCCTTTCCTTTTTCCCCCACCATCTCCTTATACATATATACATACATCTTCCTTGTACGTATCTATCTACTTTCTCATTCTTCCTTCTTCTTCTATTTTTTTCTCTGAGGGGGAAGGGGGGAAAATAAATCATACAGCAGAATTAATTATTTATTATTTTA